TTTTGAGTAGTATCTTTACTCAAAATTTTCCGCGCTTTTTGTTCTGAAAATATCTTTTGATCTTCAGATTTGAATCGATTCTGCATTTGAATTGTTTAGTCGAGTGATCGATTAGCAATTTGTGATCAATTAGCTTGATCAATTCAATGTTACATCAAGTTTTTCAAGCTTTCTAAAATTTTCTCGTGTTCATCAATGGCGAACTTCAACATGAACACCATGACTTCTTTCTCTCACTTACTTGGTTCTTCAACCAAAATTACGATATTAATCCCTGAATACTATGATCAATGGGCTGATAGAATGGAGGATTACTTAAATGGAAATGATGAAGAACTTTGGAATTGTATCAAAGGAACAGTTCAAACTCCTGCAAATGTTCAACCAATTGGACAATCTGCTACAACAGCTGAAGTTGTTGAACAACAAAATCGCTTGAAGAAGAACGAAAAGAGATGCATGAGGGAACTAAGAGGTGCTTTGCCTCATGTGGTTTATAATTACATTCGTAGTTTTAAAACAGCAAAGGAAATTTGGATTACTTTGAAAGAGAAGTATCAAGGTAGCGAAAAGACGAAGATCAACTCTGTGAAGCAATGTCTTGTTGAACTTAAGGAATTCAAACAAAAGGATGCTGAAACTCTTGAAAACTACTATGATCGTCTCAATGAGCTTGTTTATCGCTGCAATAGGAATGGAATCACAAGGTCTCTCATGGAATTCAATCTAACATTCATCATGGGCCTTCGCAAGGAATGGCGAAGTGTGAGTATGATGATAAAGAATCAACAAAGTTTTGATACAAGCAGCCTGAATGATCTCTACAACCAGCTGAAAACACACGAAAGTGAAGTTTCAGAAATGTTTGAAGAATCAAAACAAAGTCTAGGAGGTCCTTTGGCTTTTGTCTCAAAAGTTTCAGAGGGTGATATTAATGAAACAGATGGTTCAGACAATGAAGGATTTTAATGAACTCTGATGATGAAGCTGTTGCATTCTACTCAAACAACAAAATTAAGAAATTTTTCAAAAAGCCTTTCAATCCAAAAGGAAAGTCAAATGATGCAAAGAGTGGTGTCGCAAAAGCTGGAGATGATGAGAAGAAGAAATTGGACAAAAATGAAGAAAAGAAAAAAGATGCGAAGGATATGAAGAAGTTAAAAAGTGATTTTGGAATTTATTGTCACCACTGCAATGGTGCAAATCACTTCACAGCTGGTTTCATGCTCAGAAAGAAAGAGGAGAAGAAGAGCAAAATTAAAGATGAAGTCTACTATTCCGAAAATCTCGAAGAAGTGCGTGCGAAGGCGAAAGGAATATCATTAGTTGCAAGAGGAGAGTCCGATGAAGAAGAGAGTGGAACATATCAGATCTGGTCTTCAGGATCTGATTATGAAGAAATGAGGCATCCAACTCATGGTGCAATGTTCGCAAGTTTTGAAGAAAATTGCAAAGAGAATGTTGCAGGATGATGCTTTGTGTCCAAATCCTCAAACAAATCTCCAATGACCACCAAGGTACGTGCTATTCTTGAATCTTTTAATATTCCTTTATCTTCTTATGATGCTGAAATTACTTCATTTGATGATATTGTGGCTTATTTTGATTCTGTTATTGTGTCTGCTAGTACTGAAGCTCAAAATTTAAATATGCAACTAGTTGAGACACGGAGATAATTAGAAATAAAACGAAGCAGAGTAGACAAACTAGAATTGCAGATCAAAAATGTAAATTGTGATAGGGACAAACTTAGAAATGAAGTTAGGTTGTTACTAGCACAAAGAAATATCTACTGTAACTCTGCTAAGCGTTTGTATGCAAAATTAACTGCTTTACATCATTCATCTAAAATAAGCAAAGAACAACATAGGAAACTTTTACCTTTTCTTGAATATGAACGTGAAAAAGTTGATTTTGTTTCTTATGATTGCGAAAACACAATTGCACAATTTGACAAAATACATGATGATAGATTCGCATATGGTATTGTCAAAATTGATGAATTCTTGAATGCTGATGAGTTGGTTAGTATTGTTAATGAAAGTTTAAAAAAGAAAGAACAAGTGAAAATCTTAAAGAAAACCGAAATTTCAACTCTTGATTCTCAACTCAATTATGCTGATGTCAATGACAATTCAGATAATGTGAGTGAAATCAGTGAGATTGAAGACGAAGAAGAGGTTGATTGTTCTAAATTGTCAATCATTAATATCACATCTATGATTAAAGGTAAAGAAATTATAGCTGATTCAGTCGTAAAGGATGAAAATGATCAATTCTCTACTTCGCAACAAAGTGAATTTGATAAAGTGGAAGCTGAAAGTTGGAAGTCCGATGACACTGATGAAGAAAAAGAAGAAGTGAAGGATTCGCATGAGACAACTCAAAGAGTTGTTGTTGATCAAGTGTTTGGTGATACAAAAGAATTCAACAAAATTCTTAATGAAAAAGGTGCACATTATTTGGAAACTAACACGGTGGTTTATCCAAATTTTACATGCACAGATAACACAAATTTTCCAAATCAAGTTTTTGTCACAACTGGAATGTTGAGAATATTAAACCTGAATTCAACAAAATGGTTGAAAATGATAATCAAGGATCAACTACTGAAGGTTTCTTTGCAAATCAAAATACAGTAGAAAATAATTTGACTCGAAATTCTTATGTATTTCAAAGTAAAAAATCATCACAAAAATGGGTGGTTAAATGTGAAAAAGAAAACAAAGTTTTTGAAAAAGATGAAAAACCAAAGATGGAAGTGAAACTAAATTCCCATGAATTTAAATTGATAGTTGGAAATTATTCAATAGAAAATAATGTTTCAAAAAGAAAAGCAAGAAAAACAATCTTTTGGCAAGTGGTATCTAATGTTAAACCAAAGGGTGAAAAAGATCAAATTCCAAAGAAACATTCATCACAAGTTCGAAAGGATACAAGTTTTCACAAATCAATATATGCTGTTGACAAAATTCCAATGAAAAAGAATGATAAATTTGTTTCTAAATATGACAACATTAGAAAATTTGGGACTTCGCAAAAATTTGTGAATGCTCATAAGTTTCATAATGTTGGCAAATTTACGAATAAATCATCAACTTTGAATGTCAAAACTCAAACAAAACCAAAATTTTCACCTAAACAACCAAATTTTCCAAATCCTTCGATTTCAAAACCAACCAAAGTTTCTGCAATGACCCAATTTTCACGTCCGAAAATTTCATTCGAAAACATTACTTTAGAAAACATTAGCAATTAAAAACATTGTTTGATCAAACCATAACATAACGTAAACCATGTCTAAAAGCCAAACCATACAACCCATCAAAATGTCAGAGTACAAATCCCAATGAATCTCGTAAGTGCGGAAACCAGAGTGTGTGCATGATGTGCCGCTTCCGCGCCAGCTCCTTCCCGTTCGGTGAAGAGGTACCTGAAAACAAAACTGTAAAACGTAAGCACAAAGCTTAGTGAGTTCCCCCAACGTACCACATACAATACAAACACATAAAATGCATACTGCCAGGCTATTCTGGGGTGCCTGACTACCCGGTACGACCATTCTGGGGTGCCGACCTACCCATACGACCATTCTGGGGTGCCGTCCAACCCGTGTCAAGCCATTCTCGGGTGCTGACTACCCATGTCAAGCCATTCTGGGGTGCTGACTACCCATCAGTCCTAACAACCGATCCTCGGGGACTGGTCCCCTCCTACTACCTCTATCGTATAACATAACAGGCCAACATACAAACATATCATCACATACTGTCAGACATTTCTAGGGTGTCTGACTACCCTGCGGTCCTAACAACCGAACTCTACTACTATCGCATATAACGTATCATGCTAGCATATAACATATCAGGTAATAGCAAACCCAGATGATATCACAAAGACAATCATCTATCATACGTCTCCTACTAGTGGACCGGCATTGTGGCCTTAGACCCACCACTACTGGAAGGTAACTCACCTCAAAGTAGCTGCTGAACTGATCGGGAACTGACTGACTGCTGCTGCTGCTGCTCCGGAATTCCTCCGGCTGCAATTCCCACAACATAGTCAATCAAACACTGCTAACTGTCCTTTGGGTAAAATGACCATTTCATCCCAGGTCTAGCCCTGAGTCTAAGTCAGAGTCAACTTTCCGTTGACCCGACTCGCCGAGTTGGCTCACCAACTCGCCGAGTTCCTATCCAGACGATTGTCCTGAGTCCCTGATTCTACTCGTCGAGTTAGGCTATGACTCGACGAGTTCTTCTTCTAAACTGACATTGAAGTTCTTCGTCCTACTCGCCGAGTTGTATGAACAACTCGTCGAGTTCATCTTCATCCGATGAACACTCATGCTTAGACTCACCGAGTTGTATGAACAACTCGCCGAGTCTGTTCTTGATCTATGAAGATTGCCTTGGACTCGCCGAGCCAGGCCATGACTCGCCGAGTCCTACCATGGGTGAGTTCAGCTTCCAACTCACCGAGTCACCCCCTGTGACTCACTGCTCAAACTCGATACAACATAAAGGGACCAATTCAGTGACTCGCGAGCAGACTCGCTGAGTCACATGAATGACTCACCGAGTCGTCGCCATGCATCCATTAAATACCCCGATTTGTTCGATTTCAGTCCATGCCATTCATAGATCTGGGCTTCCAACTTTACGTGTAGATATTCACCAATATCGATTTTAGGGCTCAAAGTGCACCAAAAGGGGTAGATCTATGGCTTTCATGCAATATGACCCCATAAAGGCATTAGATCCAAGCTCCAGGGACTAAATCATGCCTAGGTCTAAAGGCTTACAACTTGTTACAACCCACAATGCACAAACAAGCTTGGGGAATGGCTCAAGAAGGACTTCCATGAAGCTAAAAGAGACTACAAGCTTGAAAAC